AGCTGGAGAGCCAACACCTTTCTTCATTAGTCTCTTGACGTCGATCGAAAAAACAGTCGGTCCTAATATGCTTACTCGCCGACAACAACCCAATAATGCCATCGGCTCAGGGAATGACGCAGCATTCGACCTTGTAAATGCTCTCCCTCCCCCGAAAACGAACGGCGACGGCACAGTTGCACCAGCCCAGCTCTTCCCGCACGCCACCCAGCAGCCTATTCGTCTGTTCGATCGCGGCTTGCCCACCGAGCACTATGGCTTTTACACTTACTTCGACAAGACTATGTATATGATCGACACCCTAAAAGCGAATCCAGGCGACGAGGACGGCGGTGCCACCCTAGCCGCGGCCAAGTCCATAGTAACATTTGCCCAGACGCGCTTCCTCGTGCAAATCTGGACACGCATGGAGAACACCACGCAACTGATCGGTGGCGGCCCCGTGCCCTGGACCAACGGCTCCGCAGCCGCCGACACCCCCGGCACCATGCCGTATCCGGTTACCGTAACCGCGGACATGCACGGCGGGGACCGGAGCAAGAAGATCGACTACCGTTTTGGAATCCTAGGTAACCACGCGGTCAACCTAACGGATGCCCAGCTCATCTTGTCCGACCGCGGCTTCGGCGGCACCCTGGTCAACCCCATGAGCAATGCCGACCCAGCCCTCGGCGGTATCGACGGCGGCACGGGCGGCTGCAAGTGCGAGTGGATTAACTTCAAGAACTTCAATAAAGTCACTGTATAATTTGCTTGATCCGTGGCGAGTGTACGTTACGGCAAGGGCTTGACGCGGGTATATTATTCGCTATTTTTTCGTTATTACATATACACACACATACACACATGTACATACATACATACATACATACATACATACCTACGCATGTCAAGGCGTTTTTTTTCGGATTGCATCAGCGTATTCAAGTGGAAGACAAAAATTGGTCAGCGGTTTTGGCATTCACAGTATGCTTTTTTATTTTTTGTTGTATTTTTTACTTTGGTATCTACCCAGTTTATGAGGTTTGGGTGTTCGCAGCGAGCGAGGCTATGATAGCGTTTGACAGGATAGGATAGGGCGGAAGGGGGGTGGGTGCATGATATCACGATGGTTTTGGACGGACGACTACCTACCTGGGTAGGTACTTTAGGTACTTATACATATTAATGGGGAACTTTTATGTAGCTGTTCATAACCAGCAAAAAATTAAAAAGCGAATTTGATTAATTACATTAGCTCTTAAGACTCATATGTGATGTGTGTAAATACCCAGGCTTTAAGAGAGTTATTATGTCGAAAGTTTCCCTTCAGGGATCTTATCTCGATGAAGATAAAACTTCAGCGCCTATAAGTTTATATCGGTGTATATTTAATGGAATAGCTTGGAGCGCAAAGCCAAAGAGAAATCTACTGTTAGGGTATATGTAGGTGGGGGTAGTCACAGGGGTATATCTACTATAAGTCAAAGCACCCTTACGGGGGCCACCTTAATGGGGGCCACCTTAAATTTTTAAACCTTCAAAATAAATACCTTAATTTCAATTTAATATTATTTAATTAAATTAAATTTAATTAATTTATAATTTATTATATTTTAATAACGATATAGTTTTTTGCTATTAATTTAACTAATAAGGTTTTATTTTTTAAATTAATATTGAAATTGTTAATTATAATTGTACTACCTAATTCTTAGGCCTTTAATTATTTCTTTTTTTTTATAATAATTTTAATATTTATAAATGTTAAATTTAGGTTAGGTAATATCTTATGCCGTTTTTGCGGTTTTATATTTGTTAATATTTTTTTTAAATATTTAACGTAGGCTTTTATTATAATTAATTTTATAGTAATTTTATTAAGGACTTTACTAATTTTATTAAATAAAAACTTTACCGCGGGTTTAGTAAACGTTATATCAACTTTAAATAGTTTTTAATTAAAATATTAATATTTTATAAACTTAAAAACGTTGCTAAAAGGATTAAGGTTATATTTTCAATAAAATTAAGCTTTTTTGGGTTAGAAATAAAATTTGGAGAGGTTGGGGTAGTATCGGGAGTTTTCCGGAGTATAAACCGGTAATTTAATAGCTTATTTCAATCTTTAGAATAAATTTCTATAACCTTCCAGCTAATTAATATATTATATTTGGTTAAATGTTTTTTTCGTACTATTTAATAAATTATAATAAATTCCTTTTTATCGAGATTAAAGATATAATATAATTGGTATATTTTAATAAATTTATAACAATAGCTTCGTTTTATCGATAAAAATATACCTACGTTAATAATTTATAAAACGTACAATGAGTATGCCGGGATAAAAATAATGTAAACCTTATTTATAAAGCATTCCTAAAGGAATTCTATCGTGGTATGGTTACCGTAGCCGTTAAGGATTAATAATTATTATTATTAACAATTTAATAACTTCGTTTTTTTTAAAAAAAACCTTATAAAGCCATTTAAATATAATATTATTATTAGTTTAACTATTAAAAAACGTAATAAATTTCCAACCTTTAAATTTAACGTCTTTATTGTTAGGAAACTATTATTATTATACGTATTTACTTATATATATAATAAAGGAATTTAAAAATTGGCTGTTGCTATTAACGCACTTAATAATTAACGTTTAAGTTTTATTGCTATAATTTTTAACCATAATATACTTCTTATAAACCTTGCTAATAATTATTCTATTATCTCCAACCCCTTTTATAATCCCCATTTCGTTAGCGTTGTATATATGCTTAATTAAGATATTTTTAATCCTAAAGATTTTAAATCGATTAAAAAAAATATTAATATTATTAGTTATAACCCCATTAACTCGTTTATAATTAATTAAATAGGCTTTAACCGATTTAATATTAAAATAATAAAATAAAAATTGTATATACCAATATTTATTAAAAATATCGGGCTAATAATTATAAGTTAATAATTTTTTTGCAATATCTTTAAATTAATATAAAGAAGGCGTATAACTAATACAGCTTAACATAATAACTTAATTAATTAATTCTTTTTTTTAATACTTCAATAGTTTTTAATATTTTTTTAAATAATCGTTTTGTATTTTACGGCCTAATATTCGGTTTGTAAAGTAATATCGTAATATAAAATATTTTTTAAACGCCTACTGCAGGGATATACCGTTAAAAACGTCGTTTATCGCCACAGCACAACGCAATTAAACTAAGAAAATAAGCATTTTAAAATTGTAAAAAAATAAAGATTTAAATAATAAATTTTATTTTTTAATTAATTAAAAATTAATAAAATTATATAATAATTTGTATGTAGATCTTATCGCGAACGCGTTGCGTTTTTGAGGTGGCCCCTACTAGGGTGGCCCCTGTAAGGGTGCTTTAACTTATAGGGTAGAAGGCCAGGCGTTACTAGTTTAATACTATCTACCACCTGATCTACCTACCTGATATTCACTCTGTATGTGACCGCCACCAAGGGTGTTAACTATATCTAACAATAAATAGTATCGACATAAATGTTGTAGAATAGTCGGAATATGCCTATGCCAAGTTTCCTCAAACATGTATGGCCGATATAATAGTAATCAGCTATTATTAAGGAAGACGACGTTCACCGCAGCGTATCTAAACGACAGTAGTGATTAGGGTGACGATAGAGTTGAGTAAAGACTCCTTGTATGTGTATAGCCCTTCTCCTAATTCACTTGAGTCTGCTGTCTTAGATCCTCGACAGTTATTAGCATAGCGTATAAATTGCACTATATTATAGGAGTTTCTCTTACTTGAAGCCTGACACCAATTAGGCGATGGTATAAGGGAAATGCTGTGTTCGTAATCCATCTAGAGAGTGGTTCGGGCGACACCCGAGGCTTTGTGGCAACTAGGTCGTTTTCGTATCGCTCGGCTCAAGCCTCCATATCCAGACCCCGTATCGGAAAATCCCCCATGGATGGTCTTTCAAGCCAACTACGCAGGAATTCAAGGTCAGTCGGATTAGGCCCCTCGAGCTCAAATATTTGGGTTTGTTGAAGCAAAGCCTCATCTAACAATATGTTAAAATCCCCTTTCGCCTGAGGATTACTGGCTTTCTTACTGTATTCCCTTAGCTTCCTCCTTATGCAGCACACAACTCGCCATTTCTCTCTTCCCGCTCTTTTTTTCCCGTGCGCCAATTCCCACCAGTCTCGGACATACTTATTACGTTCGGTGTGGGCAGCATCCCACTGTATAGTTTCACTAAGACGTTTCTCGAGGTGGACGATCCGAGCTTGCAGGTAGAGTAAATTTTGGTAGCCACCTGACCCTCAAGGACGCGAAGATCGCCGAGATACGACAGGTGTTAGAAAAGAAGCGACAGGAGTTAGAAGAGGTGTGATAGGAATTAGAGAAAGCCCCTGCAAAGGAGAAAATATATCTACCTATGTTCAACAGCATGCTAGATTGTGATAGATGGATAATACCAAGCCACCTAGTCTTATGCAGATACCACCGCACAATCTATCTACATTAGGATTAATATAACATCTACTAGAGTTGGTATCACATTCTCGTGACTTATAAGAACGGCGTTTTAAGGACACGAGTAATAGGTAACCAAGGACTAATCAAGGACTAATCCAAAGTGTCTTGGCAAGGCGTACTCTAATAATAATTAAGGGTGTTTTGGACTATCCTAAGCCATTGTATTGTATCTGCTCTTTGCACTATTATTCGAGGCTAATCTCGACTACCTGTTAGTTATCTTGCGTGCTCTCCTCACAAACCGTAACGGTAATAACGCGATCATACGATGCGCGAAATGAAAATGACCATCCCTCTAAAAATATTAAAAATACTAAAAAATTCAAAATATTTTTGGCAGTTTTATGCCTGTTTCCTACCGTCAGTCAGCCGCCACAATTTCTTACGGCTGATTTAGCTTATTACCATTTAATACCCCCTTTCGTACGAGATCTTAAATACAGCCTCGTCTTTCCACTATTCCTTATTTCCGATAAGTATAACAGCAAACTTATTCATAATTACCTTTTGTGCTCATTGGGATAGTTTGATTGGTTTTGTATTACATTGCAAATTAGAATAACTATATTTAACCTTGTGTTTATATACGATCTCTCTCTAGACGTTAAACTATATATCAGGTAGCATATATCTCGTCACAACTCTAGCATTTTTCTAATTTTGCTGTCCGATAACTTCTATCATCTCTCAATTTGCGGGTCTTTCGCTTTTCGCTACTAGACATTGAGTGTTATCCAGCAAAGTTCATAAACCAAAGGCTCGTGTTAAAACTGAAACTTAGCGCATGCTTCAATTATGGGAACATTAGGAACGATGATAGAGGCTGTATTGGAATATGCACTCATTATGAGGATCCGGAGACGCTTACTTCTAATCGCCCCATTAGCACTACCAACCGGGTCGTTCAAGTCTCATCTATTCTTTGAAGCCAGTAGAACTCGCGACAACCAGTGCTTTAAATATTTAAAGGTCGTCAACGTTTCTCGGGATGTAAGTATCACCCTCCTAATTTAGCTTGAGAATTCTGTTAATAAAACTCAACGATAGGCGGAGCTAATTGCGGTATCAATATTTTTACCCAGCACTCGCGAATATGGCTATGCAAACACAAAGCGGTGCCAAGGGGGCCCTTGTCATATCAACATCGAAGCTGTAACACGCAATGGTCTTACCAGGGAAAAGGATGGCAGTGTGATTGTTCAGTGGAAATATCAGGCGCCTCAACAAATACAGGACCAAATACTTACTATACTCAATGCATAGTATTGGAAGGCGAAAACACCAAGGCAATGGAAGTTGATATACTATTCGGAACGAAACTCAAAGCTAGAACCGAGCATCCTGCGCCTCATTCACTCTATTTAAGGGAGGCTCCAATGCTACCAATGCTGCATCCTCTCACGACGGAACCGGCTATATATGATATGAGTAACTTGAGGGTGGGAACTGAATGTGCGTAGGCTGGAAGCGGAGGGTTTCTTATGTCAAGCGACACTCTTGCTCTATTTCTTCTGAAGGATGTACTTTAGACACCCCGTAGGCCATGGTCGTGCTTTGGGTGACTACCTACATGTTTACACGCACACTAAACGTTAAGGAATTCGTTATGATCATCATTAACTACCTGAAATAGAGATGGCGGGTAACCGAAGGTATAACCAGAACTATTTATGGTACATATCCTGGCTAGGGAAGGCACATAGTTAGTCGAGATCTCTGTCAACTGAGTGAAGCTTGAAAAATCCTAGGTTTTTTGCTTTGATAAACGTTAGGAGTCATGTATCTGCGAGACAAACAGGATTGTGATGTTATTGTTGCTAAAGGAATCTTGATATCTGTTTATTTCCTATTTAGAAATGTTAGAGATAACTGCAGGGCAGGCTGATAGCCCTGAAAGGCTAATAAACAAGTCCTATTTATATCTTAACATTAGGGCTTAACCTCTTAGATATCAATGCCTGATTCGGTTGATATCGATTCATCGAGTGTGCTGTAGCAGTTACCTACACTCGTCACTAGTGAGGCATATGTATCACGGCTGCCAACTCACCATCCGAACCGTGGTAAGAGATGTAAGTAGAATCTGTACGCTACACTTTCCTGAGTATATTAAATTCTGGACTTGCTGAAAGTGTTAGGCAATAACGTGTAGCGACATGTCACTCATATAGGATAGGAATTACTTTATGATACAGTTTATCAAAATACCAATATGCCTATCGAAGTTACTCTTATCGACGTTGAGACTGCGATTGCTTGGACATTTACAGCAGACTATTAAATCATCCGTGATCCCATTCAAACCTTGTATGTGGCATCTGTGACTTGGCCATTTGAAATTCACTAATAGTTGAACTCGTTTATTCAATGTTAGTGTTTCCTTCCACCAAGAATGTTGGATTATTCACGAAATACTGCCGGGTTTGTATTGCTCTGCCGACAGACATATAAATCTATCAGTAGGAAGAGTTCTTAATGAATTTCTTCGAGCCTTGATATTCAAACCAGAAACCAGCACATTGTATAGCGTAACAACCTCAATACGCTATACTTCTACTGAGCGATCCCCATCCGATGATGAGGGGGCCAATACCGATGCCGATGCCGATGCCGGGGCCGATGCCAATACCCGCACCGAAACAGAGGTCAAGATGCTGGTGGTGCTTGCCTTCTCAGGACTTGAAGGGGAGGAACGGCTGGTTTAAAAGCCCCAGGGACACAACCTTCACCATCGACTCAAGAATCAACGGCGAAAATAAGCCATCCGGCTACGACAGCAACTCACTCATCACGATTCTCCGATCATCACAATGCTTCATCGCTCTCTTAGTATTGATTCTCTACGTCTTCACGTCTTCGGTCCCCGTATTTTGGCTCATCTTCTATACGATTGCCGAGGTTGTCCTAGCCAGCTTTTGGAGCATTTTCGCGCTTTTTCTTAGGCATCACTGGTCGATATGGTTGGTCATACCAGAGATCGTGATCACTGTTGCGTGGATTGTACTGTTCGCTATAAGCTCGCTTTCAACACCAGATGAGTCGAAGGAATCGACGTTTCGTTTATCACTCATAGCTATAGAAGCCTCCATGGTGATATGGTTACCAACCTGCTTTCTGGCGATTTCACCATTCTTCCACTGGCTCATGCCTTGGCTGTTTCAGGTGCGAAGTCGTGAGAACGTCGACCTTGATGCGGGCGGTGCCCGAGAGATGGTAAGATCAGCTCGAGTGATGGATGATATCGTAGTAGCTAACAATGAGTAGCAAATCTTCCCCCCAAGGGATCTAGCAGGACCACCAGGCCCGGGGGGCCCACCGCCTGGATGGCCGTTGCCCCCCGGAGGGTTGGGCGGTCCTCCCATGGATGGGCCAGGAGCCCCAGGGCGTGCGCTCGGAATGCCGCGCAAGACAACTCCAGGTCATATGCCGCCGCGCCGCGTGGGTAACAGGCGTGGAAAATTTTCGAGATCAGGAAGTACCTCGACAACTTGTAGTGATGAGTTGCGCGTAGAATCCAATTATCCCCACCGATCAAGTAAATAACGAAACGATTATCCATATCTTGAAGATGTTAATCCCTGGGACACGGTATCTACCTTGAGTGGAGATGGGAGCTGAAGGGTTTGCTACTTACACTAGGGGAAATCACGAACAATGGGGCATCGTATGCACAAACATACACAGCATCTGTACCTAATGTTTGGTCAACGGATTGACCTATTAGGTAGGGTATTATAATTAGAGATGGGTTTTCATCAGACCACCCTGATAGGGGCTTATCGGTTGTATCCGATGTCGCCGGCGAAGCGAGGGATAGTATGATTTCTCAGGGACTATGTCGCGTTCCCTTGCGTACAAGTGATTTTAGGGCTTACGCAATCGAGGTTTTTTTTTAGACGAGCCTTGATATCTCCAATTCTGGGGTACTGGGGTTTGCATGCCGAATCTGTAGGTTGTTATGGAATAAAATAGGAGTTAGGGGCTATGTTGATTAGTGGTGCTACAAACTCGTACATATATGTAGCAATGGTCGTCGCAATTGATGCTATCTGTCTACATAGGTACTTCGTAGGTATGTACCTATGTATCGTATCTCCGATCTTGATTGACCTTCTCTCCACTCGTACCCAGCGGATTTATCATTAAGATCGTGGTTGAACAATTGGATCTTGGCGGAGGTCGTTGGGGTCTATGTTGCCGCTGACTTTGGCCATCTACGTCCGTAAACGTACGAGGATTATCATTAATGGCGTGGTGCTGATTACCCAATGGAGGAGGGGATTTCCGGGCTTGATTCGTAGCATAAGACGCGGGAATAAATATATGCAATCAGTGAATAATCGGGAAAGCTATTCGACGAAGGGGGTTGGCTACAAAAATGCACGACAAAAATTACATGTCAGTTAAACTTCGGTAAGTAGCCGACCAAGGACCAAGGGGGAGGAGGTGATTGATTGCGTGGTTAAAATTCGATGGCCTTAAGCGGGATGGGCCGGGGCTATTTTCGGTCATGTTCAGATACATTGTTAGTAAAAGTTAGTGTATCCATTCTAGTGAGTATTAGTGCACTAACTGATAATATCCTACATAGTAGAATTCGGACAGGGCAAGATCACCTGGCCATTTTGCAACGGAGAGCCACCGCGGTGGCACTGCTACCCTCCCTTGGAAAACTGATACATAGGTACCTACCTAAGTACATACCAAATCTTATCGGGGGAAAGTAGACGTGGCTACCCTCAATTCATAAAACCCCCTCCATCGAACGGCATCATTCCTACCTACATACCCCTAAGGTAAACTAACAAATTCCCCTTTACCTTTCAATGCCTAGTCTATTTTCCATACGGCCATAGCTCGTCCCGACTGCCTGGAGAAATCGGACCCTTAATCAGAACCAGCCATTTACCCCGCTTTCAAGCTAACATTAGAAATCCCGTTCGCTGAGCGACAAGGTGAACTTTAAAGGACTGCCCGTTTAAATTTAGTCAATCAGAAGTCGCCTCCTTGTCTGAGCATCTCCACTGCTAGTTGACCTTTGTTACTAAAACGGCTATTCACCCATCGATTAATAGATTCAATTACCTAACAGCCCGAGGGGTGTCGGCTAGGTTCCAATGACCATGTCCGAAGGCGACGGTCAGAATGGGGTCCAAAGATTGACCACTCAGGCATCTATGCCCAGGAAGAAATTTGCAATTCCTCCCGTTAAGAACGCCTGTCTATCCTGGTAAGTCGTAGCGCTTGAGCATTGCGCCATCCTTCGGCATTCCTTTAGCATCAATTCCTAGTCACCAACGTTATCAGGGCACATGCTAACAGCGATTGAAGTCGTGCGTCGAGGACGCGATGCAACGGCGAGCATCCATGCGCGAGTGTACGCTTAACTCTTAATTCCTTAGTTCATATCTCGTTCCGAATAGAAGCATACAAGAATCAAGTATGAGACACTGACAGGTAGTTAAACAATCCAGTGTGTAACAAAAGATCGCGAATGTGTCTATAAACCCAGCAGGCGAGGAGGCCCGCGCATTCGGAAGAAGGCCCGACCACTCTCGGACTATCAAGATCTAGCCATCTCGCTACCTACCCATCAAGAAGAAATCCCTCAAGATGGTGAGAATCTCTGCTGGCTGACCTAGATGCATACCAATGCTGACCGAGGTTAAGCACTTCTTCTCGAGAACTATATAGATCCTGGCGCTGGCCTTAAGCCTCTGGCAGATATCTGGAAAGATAGCGATGCTATATATGATAATCTATTTCAAGATGCCCTCCCGACTCCAATGCCCAACATTAGGATTCCGATGGTTAGAACCTATGGGGGGGATGATCGGGCCATGTGAGTTGTGTTACCATTACTCAGAAATTTCGACTGACCGCTCCCAAGATTAAATGCCTATTATATTTGGATTCATCCGTATTTCCCAATTCTACCTCCCCCGGAGACGACGCCGGAATTGGATCAGGTCTCGCCCCTATTCGAAAACCAGAGAGACAAGTTTGAGGAACCATCTTCGGCTATCAGTTTGGCTATCTCCGCCATCTTAGCCCTGATCCCATGTCCCCAGGATCCAAACCCACTTGAGCCAGAGTCTATTCGTTGGAGACGCACGTATTCGCAGTTTTTCGCAAAAGCAGCATTAGAGGGTATCGAAACCGAGACGGAACGACCGGAATCATCTGTTTCGCCACCGCGGGCTCTGGATGACTCAGACGACGAAATTTTTAGAGAAAAGTTTCATTCGCAAGTTCCTCTAGAGTTAGAAAGTATTATTGCTCTTGATCTTCTCAGCGTCTACGAATATGCGCAGCGCGGAAACTTGAAGAAGATGCGGGCTAGGGTCGGAGCGGCCCTAGTGTCTGCCATGTCCCAAATGCTCCATATAGACAGCGACGAGGAGGATGGGTACTCGGAAGCACGACGTCGTACATGGTGGATGACGTATATCTGCGTCTGCCAAGGATCAATTGTTAGCAATACAGTACGTCCGCGGATTGTCTTGAAGATATGATTTATGCGCTCACGGATATTCGTTAGCCCCCGACGTTCGAAGTCTTCGCTTCTAGCTTCACGGCTAAATATCCTATGATCAAGGCTGATCCAGATGTATGATACTGAACTCCCGCGTATTGCCCCTTTCTAACTATGAGCAGGCATGGCCATTGTTCATCCAAGCTCAGCAGGCCATCCTAGCAGCCACTCAGTTTGTTATCGATTTCAACAAGGCTAGAAAGGAACAATCGGATATGAACCGCATCTTCAATCGAATGCGGGACCTCGAACGGCGTTTGGAACCTCTGATCACCAAATCCGAATCATGGATATTGAATTGTCCGTTGACGCAATTAGTTGATAAGAGGGAGTCGGTCCTGTCTCAATCGCTGCGATGCATTTCGCGTATCAAGTTGAATAGGTATTGACTACATCTAGAACTCTGATCTATAGCAGGCTAACATCCACATGTAGTGCTCGAATCAAAGTCCATCGTTATTGTGCTTTCTTCGACCTTGCCGTTTTTTCGGGAAAGCACTGCGACCTGAAGAGCACAACCGAGAATAATGCAGTTGATAGTCCAGATATTGTTCAACTTCAGTCGTGTTGTACCACTCTGAGCAGTACACCTTCTGTCCACTCGAGCCCATCTGGTGGATCTGTGTCTCCCACACTCTCCAGCCGATCCACTCCTAATACAGACTGCTGTGGTTTCACCTACCAACCGGCACCAGTTATGACGTTCCCATTCAGCACCCACCAGTCGTCTAAAATATGCCTGAAGTCTGCCTTGAATATTGCACAGGCGTTCGACTCCTTACCGTATCCGAATCCTAGTGGCTTGCTTTGCGACACCCCTTGTTACATAGGACCAAACTCTACGTTGATCACACCAAGGACAATGCCTTCTTTTGCTTGTTGCGCAATGCAGTGCAGCTACGCATTGCTCATGGTTAAGGACAGAACGGAGACGATGTATCCAACAGCAACCGGCGAGGCTGGTCCCCTTGTCGATAACCTTCGCGACCGTCTTCAACAAGGTCTTGTCTCCATATTAGTAACACTAGAGAACTATGCAACGGCTTTCGAAGCCTTAGGTGGGATGAGAGGTAAGCCGATATCCCTCGTTTATGAATGTGGTGACAAGTAGGAACTAATCACTATACCTACCAGACCAAATTCGCGATAAAGTCGATTTAGCATTAGGATTCTGATACGAGTTATGACATTTCTTTCCCATTAGGTAAAATTCTTGGATATCCATTAGGGTTGGGGTTATCGTTTAGGCGCACTCGTTATATATAGGGTTGAATACTCCTCCTCTCTTTGAACTAATACCACGAGCTCACTCAAAGGCCAGGATAGATTTAGTTGATATGTGTAAACACATTCACGGCTAATGATTATAAATTGAAGAAAATACTCCGGTACCTGCGAGGCTGTTTAAATCAACACAATTTGTATAAACCGAAGCGCAAAGGTGTTGGAGTGGCATGTGGCCAGTCATCCTTTTCAAAGGTGGAACGAAAAAGCGGGTTTCTAGCCATATAAATGCTATTAGTTAGACTCTACATGGGACCAAAACCACAGTGACATTGCTATTACATTAAACCATGCTATACCTATAGGTACATAAGAGTTAATTGATACATGTACGGACGGTCGGCTTTGTGGGTCCCTCTCCGAGTACTTCGGACAATGTGGGTCCCGGTTTTCACTTCACCCGGAACGGCGCCGGCATCGAAAAGAGTGCCGAAAATAGGCGGCTTCCACCTCCGGAGCAGTCAAAACGGAAAATTTCTGTCATCAGGCTTTAATTCACATATGTATGGGCTATTTATTGGGAATGCATAGGCACCAATGAGCATTTATTCTATTTTGCCCACATGTTGTCTTTCTCAGTCAAGTTCACATAAAATAAGAGTAGTGCAGAAGATGTAAGGACGTGGTAACAATGCACATATTCACGACTGGTTCTACAAATGACTATCAACTTCTTATTATGAGTTCCTAAGCTTCTAATATAATATTCATTTGCTTTATTCCAAATCATAGATGTAGTGAGACGTAGTTGTGAGAGTAGTTATGAATCTTGGCCACTCCTAGGCAATTCAATCAAAATACTCGACTATATGGCGTAAACTGCACCTGTATACTTTTCTGCGTATACCAGAGGTACAGCTAGCAAGTACAACTTGAATGACCCTCACCAACTCGTCAACAGGTCTGCATCAGGTGGAACCCTATTGACCTGATTCACGAACTTTTTCTTCTTTTCTACCTGTTTATAATCCCACAACAATTCCTGGGGGGGGTTCAAACACACTCTATCCCTCCCAGTCGTGTAGAATCCGAATCTCTCGACCGCATCACTGCTCACCATTTCTATTTCCATTTCGAAACATCATACATATTTCCTCTAATTCAATTTGAATTCAATTGTTCCAAGAAGCCAAGATGGTCTGCCCACCCGAGTCGCCCGTCACCAAGGCTAGCTCCAGCGAGGAGGCTACCACGCCTACTCCTGGCAGTCCCGAAAGCCTACCCGTGACCACGCCCGCCAGCCGCTTCGAGCGCCCTACTAATCCCACCCCCAACAGTTCCAAGGGCAAGGGCAAGGGCATCATGGCTCCGCCCGTCACTCCCAAGAACCACGAGAGCCGATCTCTTCTTTCGCCCGGCCAGCCCAGCACTGTTTCGTCTCTCACTCCGCGCAGCATGAACATCCGCCAGGTCGCCACGTCTCCCGACGGCGTAGTCTTCACCTTCAGCTCCCCGGAGACCCGCAGCGTCGCATCTCCCCTCGAGTCCTGGGAGAACGCGATTACATTCCGCCAGTGCGACGACGTCCAGTTCGCAACCCCCAGCGGCAGCAACCGAACCGTCGTCACTAATCGTCAGGGTTCGACCGGCATCCGATCTTGGTTCACTATTCCTGACTCAGCTGACTACGTAAGTTGCAACTTTTTTTTATCCAGCTCATGATTATTCACTTGATGCCTAGTGTAATGAGTACTAAAAACAAGTAAATAGAACGTCGAGGAGCAGCCGCTTCTCAATGACCCTCTGACCTTGGCGGTGCCCCAGCGCCACGACTACGGCGCACTCCCTCGCCCCACGCACGCAGACATCCACCCCGACTTCTGGGACTGCTTCTCCCAGACCGAGATGCTGATCATCTGCTCCCTTCTCATTGGAATCATTCTGTGTGTTATATGGACTGTCATGAATGCCATCACAAACTTGTGATTTCAGAAATGCCCGCTCCTTATGCCTTGGTGGTTCATAAGTGAAGGTTGAGGCGGGAGGAAATGGTTAGGGGAATTAGCCGGCGTTGGTTGCAAGGATTTCGTTGCGAAGGTTGAGCCAAAAGGTCCCGGGGGACTCTATACTATGAAGCACTTTCTTCGGTGGTATCTGGTGGGTTGCGATGCATAATCTGGTGTTATAGCTGCTTTGCTTTCGACGTCTTTTTGAGTGCCTATCCCCATTGGATGGTACCATTATTTGCACTATTCATACTTCAAGTTCGCAGTTAATCACATGGCCCTAATGGCAACGTCTTTAATCAACTTATTTCACTGAACTATTCTATACCTAGATCGTGACTCCTTTTCAGAGCTATACTAATAGGTACTGTTCTGTCTTTCAGTTGTAAGACTGCGTAGTAGTAATAAGCCTGTCCTCCTACTAATAGTAACGGGATTCTACTTATAATACCACTATAGTTCACTGGAAACAGCTACCATTGGCCGATCTGTGCGAGCCGCCTGCTCAGCGTATCACAGCCTTCAGACCTCCTACCCATTAAACTACTATAAAGGCACTAAACGACTAATATGTCTAGTTATACATAAGATACTTTTACTTATTTTTCTATTGTAGAAGGGGACGATAGATTAGGCAAATTGTTGTATTCCTAGCCCCGAATTTCGAAGGCTAAGGGGAATTGTCTCAACTGGGCTAGGTCCCTACCTACCTAAGGTACCTAAGGTAATCACGATCCCTATAGTTCACTTCCAAGAGTCAAGACCATGGCAATGAACAGACGGCTGTTTCTCAAAAATAGCAGCTGCTACTAGAGTACCTAATGAAGCTTTCGCGTGCATTTGCGCGAGCCGCAGTTGCTTCCCCCTCCCTCCTGCTCAGAATAAACAAACAAATTTATTTTTCTACTACATCTTTGCCCTATTAGGGCAACTAGACAGTAACTTTAACCTGTCGCTCTTGCTAGAAAACAAGATTTCTTGGTGGAAGGCAAGACGGAAATTAGTCATACCATCTTCGTACCGAAATAAAGGAGCAGGCACATGTCAGTTTTCTGCCAAGTAACCAGACGGGAAGGGGCTAACAGGCTAATATACAAACAGTACGTACATTTCATCTCTTAATAAATAAGAGTCGCCTCGCCCACAAATTTAAAACTCAACATTTTCATCAAGCCTCACTTAACCTAACCTAACCTAACCTAAATCCTTCAACAAGAGACACCAACTACAACAAAGAGTTTCCAACCATATCAGGGACCTAGTCTGAAGTTGGCTCATAGTTCCTCGCTCTTAACAACTTGCCATCTACTACCTACAACAGGTCTTGCGGCTTTCGTCGTTGTACTGTACCTTTAAATTTTCGACATTTCCTTGCAAGATAAATGCCAAGGAATACACCCCTTGAACTGCAAAGCTCGTGAACGACTATATTGTGGTCTCGGGATACAAGAACAAGGTATGAATCATCACGGGGCTGAAAGTGACAACGGACCTAATATTTGGCAGCAGTATAACACATAAAACTAAAGCCAAGGCAAACGTGAACGTCAATGCCCACACGAACCCCCCAGAACAGGAGCCGAGAGGCGTACAAACAAGGGGCAAAGCTAGATACTGAGGTTCAAATCTACGGATATCGTGGGAGGGGCTAGATTGTCAATTGGCACACTATAATTCTTAACAACAAGACGAGTCAATCAAGGAAGACTACCAAAATGCCACCCCTATCCTAAGCGACATAATCGAGAAACATATACCCGCACATATCCAAGAAAGACCCAGACATAATATACGAGTCGGTTGAATGTCCAGATTGTGGAAAGATGCTCAAATACTTACAAGCTCATAAAATATGGGTACACGAAAGATCATACGGCTCAAAAGGTGGCATTGACATCCTATGTACTAAGCTGGTTAGGGGCGATATACGCCCGCGCCTTAACTAAAGTGGGACCAAGTTGCCGGTCTCATGTGGCGGCGAGTATCAGGATTTTCAATACAGCATCTTGTTAAACATGACTGCAAAGCATAAACTAGCCCTACGTGGTTGGCAAATCAGGCCTATTTAGGTACTGTGGGGCGGGAAGAGTTATTCCGAAGTTTAGCTTAGTCATATCCAACATAATTACATCCTCACCTGTACCTAAAGAACTTAGAAAAGACAACAACCTCTTATGTGAACCTGAAATACCTTATTATAGTACCTAGTTACACGCTCTTTAGAGGATTGGTTATTAAAACCTTAATGTCAGGGGATAAGTGCAGTATTAGTTTAGTAATCAATCGCTATTACTATAACCCACCATGATTCTACCATCGTATCTTCTTTTATTTGTCCTCTTACAGTTGAAAAATAGTTCATGGTTGAGTTCCCGAATGGGACCTCTACAAACTAGTTTGATATCATTTGTAAACTCGCAGGTGTTTCAACATCTTTTTTATAAAAGGGTATTTGTCAAGATCCACCATGTCACGAATATTGGTCGTCCTTTGATATTAATACCTTTAAACGCAAAATCCGACCACAATATCCGTAGATGGAAACCTTGACATATGGCCTTTTTTTCATTTATACTCCTTTTAATTCTGCTTGTTCCTTATGCATAAGCTGTTTTTACCTTAACATCAAGCTTCGGTGTAATGTTATTAAAGATATAAAAAAGTTTACATCATTACGGGATTAAAGGTATAAATAAACTTAAAATTTAAAGTTAACATATTTATTTAACGATTTTATAAATAAGCATTTAATTATTTATTTATTTGTTAAGTTAAAATAAATCGTTATAATATTATAAAAACTTCTTTTTTTATTAATTTTTTTACGATTTTATAATATATATATATAATCGATATTATTAATAAATAATAAATCTTAGTTAAAATTTATAAATAAAACGTTAAGTTAAAACTTAATATTTATAACGGTAATATTAAAATGATTAACCATGTAAAATAATTTAAAAAAAGTTTTTATTTTATATAAAATAAAAATATAATACGTATTTTTAATAAAATTACGATAACGATAAGATAATTTAACTTAATTACATTTATTTAAGTTAAAAGGGTTTTTTTTATAATATAACTTTAAAATTTAATTTATTATAATTTTTAACAATTAATAATTTATTTTAAAACGATTAAAATTAATAAAAATTTAATTATTAATTTTAAAAAGTTTTTAATTAATATTTATGTTAAAATATAAAAAATAATTAATTATATAAAGTTAAGTTTAAAAAAAACTTATTTTTTAAATTAATTTATACATATATAATTTAATATAAAATAATAATAAATTGTAATAACTTTATTTTAATATTAAATATACGTTTATTAATATATATTTATTTTTTATTTAATTGTTAATTAATAATTAAAAAATCATAAAGTAATAAAAAATAATAAGTTTTTATTTAAATATTATATTATTTTAAAAGTTTAAAGCTTTTAATTAAATTTAAACATTTATATTTATTACATATTTTTATATATATTATTATATTTACCATTTAATATAATTTTAATATAAAACAAATACGTTAATAATAATGTTTTAAATAAAAACTTTATGATATCCGATAAAATTAAAATTATAATATTTTAAATTAATATATATTACGTTAAAACTTTTATAATATTTAAAAATATTATACATAATAATAAGTTGTAAAAGCTTTTTAATTTAAAATTTAAAAAATTAATTATACGTTATAATAATTTATAATAATAAATATATATAAATAATAAAGTAAATAATAAAGTAATAATTATAGAATTAATAGTGTTAAAATTAATATGTAAATAATATTTTAAAAAAAAACTATTTAAAAAATTATATTAAAAATATAACTTATTTATATATATAAATTTAATAAAAATGAAATATTTTATAAATTATTATATAATTATTATTTATTTTATTTTATTTTTATAATTAATTAATTACGAAGCTTTTTATTAAATTATTTATTTAAATAAAAATTAATATAAGGAAAAAAAAGTTAATATAAAAAATAAATGAGATTTTTAAAAGGTTTAATTAATTAAAAATTATATTAATCATATTATTTATAATGTATATTTTATTTTTATAATTTATTAAATTTTTATTATTATTAAATAGTTATTAATGTTATTTAAACATATATAATAACTTAAATATTATTAAAAGGTTTATTTTTTTAATATAAAATATGCTTCGCGCATCCCTTTTATAATTAATATTTACATAATAAAATGGTTAACGCTTTAACTATTTATAATTAATATAACGGCTACGTTACACTTACAGTTATAAAAACCATGCACCGTATAACATACCTTTTAAATAAAAGCAATATCTTATATTCTTATACTTGCTTTTTGCAAAATGGTTTATATATAATATAACGTTATTATATTATAATAATATCCGTATTTATAACTTATAAATTTATGTATTTAAAGTATAAATTTATATAAAAATTATATATATAAAATAAGTTCGTTTACGTTTTTAAAACTTATTTACGTTAATATTCCAATAATATATTAAATTTCTTAACTTATTATAAATAATATTTATATTATTATAAAAATAATTTTATTACTATTTAATTTAAATATTTATATAAATAAAAAATTCTTTTTTAAACCTTTTTTTATAACTTTTCTTTTATAACTTTTTTATATTTAATTTTATATTTAACCTTACTTTTTTATTTCAATTATTTTCTTTATATTTTAACTATTTCTTTTATAATATTTTATTATAATAAAATTTTATAATTTTAATTTTTAAATATTATTAATATATAATATATTTATTTTAAATTACGCTATTTTATAATTATATCTTTATTTTTAAATATTATAATAAATCTTAATAATAACGTTAAATAAATAAATAATTTTTTAATTTTTTAAATTAAATTTATTAAAAGATTAATTATTAATAATATTAGTTTTAAATAATTAGCTTTTTTTTAAACGATG